ATTTAAATATTAAATTATATAATTAAAAAAATAATTAATTGTATAATTTAAATTATACAAGTAAATAATAATAATTAAATAATAAACTATACAATTATATTTAAATATTAAATTGTATATAAATTATAAATATTTAAATATGTACAGTGAGTTTAGAAAATATTTGTACACCGATTAATTTGAAATAAAATGTGAAATTATAGTTTATTAACTAATTATATATATATATCGAAATATAAAAATATTGTATTAGAAATTTGTATTTGAAAATCGATTAGAATGTTATAAAAATAAAAAATAAAAATGAATTACATTTCTATTGGTTTCCCAAAAAGTTCGTGGTAATTTTCTAAATATGGAAATACATATTTTTTTTTATATTAGTACAAAATATATCGGACAAACAACTTTATATATATATATATAGTGTATACATACCATGTTTTTAAGGGATGAGGGATACCACGAATGTTTTGGTTGTGTGGGATCCTATTCGACAATGATCGAAAAAGTCGACGTTCCAACGGATCCCAGAAGAACGTTGGAGGAAGACTGATCGATTAAGTATTTTCCGGACGTGTTTGTGTTCTCCTTGTATGCTCCCACCTACTTCGATAAAACTTTTTTTAAATATATATATACATTTTATATATATATATATATTATATGTCTCCTTCTTTCTTTTTTTTCTTTCTTCTTAATCCCACTCTCTATTCTTACATTTCCTTATGTTCATCTGAACATACATATATTCGTATACGTATATGTGTTTTTTTGAATAAATGTGTACGTATAAGAAAGTATACGTAATATAAGATAACCCACACTCGTTCTTTCTCTTATTTCTCCCACTCTTTCTACTTTTTCTTCTCCTCCTCCTCCTCCTCTTTCACCACCTCCCTCAATTTTTTTACACTTACTCTTTCGTTCTTCTATGAAGTCCGTTCATAGTCAAGTTTCGATTGGTCAAATCGTAGACAATATACACTATAAACTATCGTTTTGTTCTTCTTTTGAACTTCCCTATTGTTTCTTTTTCCACTAAACAGATTCTTTTCAAATAAACAACAACAGCAACAACAAAAATGTATAACACAATAATCTTATCTTTTATAAACCACATCCACTTTTGATAAGTTTCTAAACATTGTCATCTTTGATTTTAAAAGTTTACAACTTTCATTCGTGATTTTTAAATATTTTTATTATCAGACGTTGTTCTTTTGGTTTTTTAAATTAACATTCAACGATCCGACATCATCAACGTAGTTGTGGTATTAATACAAATGATGATAATAATTTTGTTTCCGGTATTTTGATTTTCTTTTTCCTTTTGTCTTTATTCTTTATTTTGTTTTTTGTTGTTTTTTTCTTTTTTTTTTCCTTGAAAAATAATTGTTTTCCTGTAAGAACTTTTTACGCGTCAACCAACAACGATACGAATTATTTATTTAATTATTTGATCATTGACCATGACTCCTAACACATTTATTTCTTGTCATTACACGAATGTAATCTTCGAATGTGACGAGGGGAATCTTTTGTTATCTTAAAAGATAACAAACACACAATTTCTCCTTCCTCGAATACTCTTCCGACACATTTCTCACATTCAATTTTTTTTGAATTATCACTTTAACGATGATATAATGTTATTGACAATTATCACTTTAAATTAATAATAAATAAACGTTAACATATTCGTAGAAAACGTTGAACATTCATAAACAATGGATCTTTAACCTAACCTAAACCACCTTTAAATTTCAATTATTTCGTATGATAAAAAAATGTCAGAATTCGTTTTTTTTTTTTATAAACTATAAGATTGTTGCAATGAAAATATGCAATATCATTTAAAATAAATATGATCGTGAAATCTCGAAAAGAAATGACATTGAATAAAAAATTCGGCCCATCACCATATTGCTGACTTCGAACAGAATATTTTCTCCCCCCGGCTTTTTTCTTTTATGAAATAAATGATTTAGGATGATATAGTTAGATGAAAACCCCTGTATATAAACTATACAAAATAATTAAGCTTATAAGATTGATTTTTCGTTAGTTATAAGAGTGAATCAAAAGTTCGTGTGTTTATTTTTTTTTGTTTATTAATATTTCCAAAAATAATTCATTACGCAGTTTTGAAGTAAACTTTCAACACAATAAGATTATGAATTTTTGATTCAACCTAATATAGTTCTTAGCATATTTAATTTCAACGATATGGTTTTATTTTTGTATGTATACGTGCGTGTTTTGTTTGATAAATAAAATAGAAAAAAAAATATGGAAAAAGAATTAAAAAAAAAGAAAATAAGCAAATTCTATTGGAATCTACATTTCCCGATGAGTTCATTCAGGGTCAACGGTTAAGTTTCTATCCGACGGACAGACGTATAGTCGTTATGACGAAACTCTACGATCGTTCATGGTTATCATCGTGATTTTACGATTGTCACATGACGACACGAACTGAAACCGAAGTGGTCTTATTATTCTCATGGTTATGCCAAATAAAGTTTTACGTGAAAGGACATTGAAATAGAAATAATAATAATTATTATCGATTCTTATATCCAATTCGCTTAATTTTCTTAATTATCTTCATCGTCAGCGTTAAGGTTATTAATCGTTCATGTTATTCCTTATCTCGTACATTTAATTTGACAAAATCAATTATCCAATCTATCTCGAATTATCAGATATTACTTTTATCGAATTATAATTTGACATATTATTTTAAATATACAGTTTATTTTTATGTTTTATTTTCTTTTTGTTTTTATCTCAAACGAGATAATTAGAAAAAATATCTCGTTTGTTATTAAATCTATCAAAATGATTTGTTTGTAAATTTGATTTGTTTGCGAATGAGTGAGATATCTTATGATATATATATATATATATATATATATATATATATATATATATATATTAACATTTAATTAATTTTCTATCTCCTTGTGTGATGTAATTAGTTTTTAAACAAATTTAAATATATATCTTCTATTATATTAAAATTATAAATTTATATATTGTATTTCTCAATACTCTTAGCCTTTTTTTATTACCAAATGATAGAAATGTCTTTTAATTAAATAAATTTTATAATATTTTTTATTAAAATAATAATAATAAATAAATAAATCTTTTATTGCAAGTCTTTGAATTTTTAATAAATATTATCATCGTGAAACTAAGAAAGAAAAATATATGCATAGTTCCATATTTATCAAAATATTTATTTGACTGTGATTTTTCTCCGAATATTCAAAGCTCAAAAAATAAATTTGCATCATATGACTTTCCTATTCGTATAAAGAAAAAAAAATTATTAAAAACAATTTGTATTTTTTCTATTTTTTTTTATTACGTTTTAAAATATTTTAATTTTTTTAGAGTTAAAACCAAATAAACTTTAAATATTATTAATATTCATGTCTAGAATTTGTCATATTTTCTTTTTCTTTTATATATACATAAATGAATGAATAAAAAAATCAATCTCATTGATAATATTACTATTTTCATTTAACTAAAATAATTAACGAAACAATATTCGTAATCTCTTGACACAAATTAATAAATTATAAAAAAAAAAAAAAGAATACATCGAATGTTTGATAAAACAAAAAAACATTATTTTAATATCTAACAAATGAATCTTAATCTTACATTTGAAATAACATTAATCAAACTTTTTCTCCTTGATAAATCTGTTTTTTTACATAACCGTTGATTCATCAATATTATGCTTTTATAAATGATACAAACTTAGAATATATCGAAGAAAACAAGCATGTTAGAGACAACACTTTTATCTAATTTGCCCCGTTCACTTTTATTCTTTTACTAATAAAACTACAATATAAAATATGAAAAAATATCTTCTTATGAAGAAGAGAATGAAGAAAAAAATGTCGACCTTAGCACTATAAATTCTATCCATGAACTGATTCGCAACTTACTGACCCTTCCTTGTGTTGCATGTTTATCTGTGACACGTGACGACAAGAATGAATGTTAGAAAGAATAAGGATGAGAATGAGGGGGGAGGGGGCATGAAACACAGCAGCAGCAGCAGCATCAACCGTTTCATTTCTGCTGTCATCGTTGAAACTATTATCACCGATCATTATTATCATTCTCTTGTCGTATCGTTGTTCACGTTGTCAGAGATTTGAACCTTCCGCAAGTACAATTGAAAGTCAGCAGAGAAAAGATCTCGGTCAAACGCATTACTCAATCTGTTAATTATAATCAATAAATCATAGACTACAATGATAATGATAATGATATAACTGAATTATTGATCATTGTAATCCTATTTTATTAAAGAAATCAAATATATTAATAATTGTCTATAAAAAAAAAAGGAAAAAGTCAAAATTTTACTTCAAATTTGTACGTAAATTTAAGGGGAAGATTTTAAACAAACTAAACAGGAGTATATACGTATATATACACTTAACTCAATAACCAAAAGTAAACAAAAATGGTTCGTTACTTCGGAAGATTGCTGACATGATTAAAAATGGTATTGCTGTACAAATAATATTCGTTATGGGTTGTTAATTCACTCGATCCATCCCCATTTGGCAAAGCTTCTTGTATGCATGTTAATTCAACGAACCTAATTTTCCATCGATTATGAATCATACAGAGCATTATAATTATCTGCATTATTATTAGTTTTAGTTTCTAATTTACGGTGAAACAAGTTGAAATAAAAAATAATAATGTTTACAAAAATATTATTTAATCAATTGTTTTTTTTTTACATATAACAATAGAAGTATTGAAAGCTTTAAAAAGAATATATGTTTTTCTTCAAATTGTATTAATAAATTTTATTAATTTTAAAAATAGATTTTATGTAACGAATATATATATATATATATATATATATATATAGGTTTGTTTTTATTTAAAAATAAGATATATGAAATCTATTCAAAAATAAAATAAAAATATACGTAATTTCGTATATGAATCTAATGACAATAAAATGAATGAAAAAAGGTACTACTGCCATCTTGTCATCATAAATCGAGCTATCAAAAATGATCATCTGAAACGTGTTACCGATAGGCCTTACGCCTGGCGGCAGGCAACCCGTTTACTGCCTTCGTTTGCTACGTTTAGTTTATCTTACTTACCACAAGATGGCCGTAGCTTGAAAATGAGAAGCATTAGATCAAACAAGGATACTAATAATAACAATAATCATAATCAAAAAACATAACAGTAACTTTACCCTATCAAAAAAAAATTCGAATTAAACTATAAGCAAGGAATAATAATTTCATTTTTTCAAATAAAAAAAACAAACAAACAATAAATCACAATATTTTCGTACAAAACGATTCAATCATAAATCTGTAATATTTAATCAATACTATTGAATAAATAATTATATAATGTTAATAATAATAATAATAATAATTAAAATAACAAATCAATTACAAGCGTATTAAATTTAAAGTAAAAAATAAGCATGAGATATGGTAAGATTAATTGTAAGATTGTAAGTAAGATCATTTCTAAAGATCTCAACCCCTTAACACAGAAGGCCAGTTGAAGTTATCGGTTGGTGAAATCGTTGGAACGTATACAAAGAGATGGTTCGAAAAGCGAATATACGGATTACGAGCAAGCACCCTTTCGTGGTCGCGTTTTACTATCGATCGACCATGAACAGATATAAGCAGGTATTCACGTTGCAACGAGTAGAGGAACCACTCGCTTGCGTGAAACAAGAAGAGTGAGTGAGAGAGAGAGAGAGATAAAGGGAAAAGAGAGAGGGTGAAAAAGCCACCCCCTTTGGTAGCAGAACGTAGTGTACAACCGCTGACAGAGAGTCAACGAGTACGCGCGGATTGCTTTATTCGATCCATTCTCATTTTTTCCAACGCTATATTTTACTTTTTTTCATATTCATCATTTTTACCACTTATTTAAAATTCAACATCCCCCTTTTATTTTTTTTTTGTATCGTTCTAACTTTTTCGGTATATTCTTTTTTCTTTTTTTTTTTTCTTTGTTTCTTCTATTTTACTTTATCGATTATACGAAATATTATTGATGTTTGTTTTTCATTTTATTTTATTTTTGTTTTTTGTTTTTTACACAAATCTACGAAAAATCATCAAAAATACTATTTGATACGTAACACGTAACGGAGTGATCTATGAATAGATCTTGGACTTCCGCCATTTTCTGACACGCTTAGTATTCGTTATATACCCACTCATTCGCGTTTAACATCCTCGTCGTCCTCGTCGTCGTTGTCGTTGTCGTTGACGTTGAAATTTTTGTCATTAACGTTCGATCGAGATTGTCTTGTCATTATCGTCAATAGAAAAATCATTTTTTTCATGTGAATTTTATAAAAAAAATTTTTTTTTTCTTTAAATACACAGCAATTTTCAAATATCATTTTGAATAATCATAGAAAAGGAAAGAAAACTGGCTGGATTAACGGTATGAGAATGTTTACGAGTGTGTGGTTTTCGATAGAAACAAAAATATTTTTAAGGATTTTAATGGATTATGATCGGTCGAATAATATCGAGATAAAACGGTGATGCCAATCAACTCACTCGACGAGCTTATCGAGCGAGAAATGACGTCAAAAAGGGATGTCATCGAGGATATCTGCGGATGTTCCGCTATATCCTCAATCGTACAAAAGAAAGATAATCTTGGACAATTTAAATCCACTTCGGGTGAGTAATTTTTCTTTCCTATTTTCTTTATATTTATTGTTATTCCCCCTTTTTTTCCCCACCCTGTTGTATTTCTTTGTACTTTTATAAGTGGATTTTTTTATCGATTGATCAGAATTTTTTGTTCTTATTTTTTTCTCTCTCTTTCTCTTTTTTTTTTTTTATTACAAAGGGTACCAAGATGATTATTATTTTCAAATGAAAATAATTATTTAAAATGTATTAGGTCGTTTGTGTGTGTGTGGGCAAATTTTTGGATCGATTTTTAAAAACATTAGATGTAATTCAAATTCACTTCAGGTGAGTAATTTTTAATTCTTTTATTTTCTTTATATTTTTTACTCGTCTTATCCTTAATACTTCCCCCCCCCTTTTGTTTATTTCTTTGTACTTTTATAAGTGGATTTTTTTATCGATTGATCAGAATTTTTTGTTTTCATTTTTTCCTCTTTCTTTCTTTTTTTTTTTTTTCTTATTACAAAGGGCACCAGAAAGATTATTATTTTCAACTGTAAATTATTATTTAAATTTTATCATGGTGTTTGGAAAATCTTAAGATCGATTTTTAAACACATTAAATGAACGTACATCAAAAATATCAATCAGTATAATATTCTTGGTCAATCAAATAAACTTAAATTATGACACAAAAAATTACAACTATTTTTATTTATAATTAATTTAGTATTCTAATTAATTTATAATTAAAATTAGGAATCCAATAGAATTTTGATAAACGAAGATTCTAAAATGCGATAAGATTTTTTGGTATCCAAAAATGTTCTTAAGAAGGTTAAAAAAATGACTTTGAGGATGAAGAAACTTTTGTATACAAAAAAAGGGTTTTATACTTCATAACACTCAAGTACATAGGTCGTCAAGGTCCCTGACAAATAATTAAATTTATTTTCTTTTTTTCTTATTATTTAGAATACCAAAAAGTCTGTCCATTTTTATCATTAAACTTTGAATAAAAAGTAATATTTTATCAATGAGACACTAACGCAATTATTTTCGTTTTTAATAATTCAATTAAGGATTTCAATTACGAACCAAAATTAACAAAAATTAAAGAATGAAAAGTAGGAAAGAATTTTCTTAGTATCTTTAATATATTTTCACAAAATTGTTTTTGAACAATTTAATTATAAAAATGATCGAATTTTTGTATTCAGAATAATTGAATATTTTATATGTAACACTCTAGTGTAAATAGTCAAGGTCTTTGATAAAAAAAAAACCGTCACTATAATGTTGAACGATCGATATCCAACGCACGTGTTCTCGCAAAGGTGAAAAATCAATTGATGAGTAAGACACCCTTTCTAAAGAAACATTTTTATCGTGACCTTGATCGTACGATCGTATAACCCCATTGAAAAATTAATTCTCTATAGTATTTTATTTTCTTTATTTTTCTTTAACACAAATCATGAATTATAATTTTTTGTTTTATCATAAACCGTGAAATTTACATTTTTTTTTTTGCATTTATTTTAGAGACATTCAGTTTATCATAATTTTATGATATAAATGTCATACAGTTAAATGTATATTTTTTATAATTTTTTGTACAGTCAAATTTAAGGATCCAATTTAACTTTGGCATTTATGAAATATCATTCAATGTGGTTTACCCACCACTGAAAAGTGAATTTATAAAAGGAATCTGTAATAAATTAACTCCATTGTCTGAGCTCTCGATGCAAAATAAACATAACCTTCGTTTTAAAAACCTTAAAACATTTAACAATACAACTTTTGTATCGTTTAACAAAAAGAATTTACAAAAAAAAAAAAACTATGCTTTAAAGTAAATTTCAAATGAACGAAACATGGGCACGTTCAAACGTACGCATAAAAGTCATAAGAAAATATTCCAGGGAAATAAAATTAATAAACATTATTGATTTATTATCGCATGTATTAATACCAAAAAAATCAACTGAATTTTACAAAAAACAAAAAATATATATATTTAATAAAATATTCTAATTCGAATAGAAAATTCATTGTTTTTATGGGAAAGGGGGGGGGGGAAACAACCGAATATTTCGTATTGAAACGTGAATAAAAGTTACGATGACCTTGAACGAAAGTAAGTAATTTATGAAACGATTCAAGTGAAGGAAGGTAAATTTCATTTTTCTAAAGGCACAAATTCTCCACAGATCTTGAAACGTATACGAGACGTCTGGCTTTTCGTGTATCATTTCTATCACTGTGTTTCCTTGATGTTTCTCTTCCACCTTCTCCCCTCCCCCCTCCACCTCCCTCTCCTCTTGTCTACATTCTTTCTTTCTCAATTTATTTCTCCCCACCAAAGATATTCAAAGAGCAGCTGTGCTATGTTTCCGAATCCATCGACCCTTCCTTCTTCTCACAGTCTCGAAATCTCTGTCGGCAGTTTGAAATCGGTGTGGCGCTTATGGTTTCTCACTTCTTTTCTTATTCTACGAAAATAATTTTTATTTCATTACCTATATATATAGATATATATATTTATTCTTTAAATATTTTCTTAATTCTACGTCATTCGTGTAAAAACTTTAAAAGTATAGTGCATTTTAAAAGTGTATTTTCGGCGATTACAATTGTTTATTTTCTTTGTATTATGCTTTAAATAATTGTAACGATCGATTACAACCCTTACAAAACAATCCTAAATTAATCTTAAAAAGACTTGACTAGTGCAGTGAAATTGTCGAAGTATTTTTTTAAATTATTATTTTCACTTTTAATTTGTACTCTTTCTTTTCGTACGTATAAATAATTACAGTGATGTAATTGTTAACCTAACACCAATTCAATAAGTAGTTTGAATTTGATAGCGCTTATGGTTTTATTTTTTTTTCAGAAACTTTTTATCTGACCTATCATTCTAAAAAGTTTTTGAAAGTGTAATGTAATTTAAAATATTCGATTAAAAATTTCGTTAAAAACGATATCAAACCATAAACTATAAAATATTGTAATTATCGATATAAAAAAATGTATATAAAAATATTTCGTTAATAGCAAATCGATCGATACTAAGATACCCGTTAATTCTTGATAGCAGATGCACCTTGTAGTGTCTAACATTTGCGCGCGAATATTTTCAAAGTACACATAATTCCGTTAGGTGTCGCTTTCAGTCTTGAGGCCTGAGGCCCAATCCAAGTATAAGACAGTTCTTCCATTCACCGCAAGGAGGTAACGATAAAAGCAGTTGTAGAACAAAACGTTGCTTTATTTTCAACTTTCCCCCCTTGCCCCCTTTTCACACACCTGAATATTCCTCTCGTTGTAAGATCTACCGTTCTTACTTGATGTTTTTATTCTGAAGAAAATGAAAGTGATCATCGTTTCAAAGGACTTAGGATAACAGAGATTGATCATGGAAGAAAATAATTGATTTCATTCAAAAGTGATCTTTTATTAATCGAATAATTTCAGTGTTTAGGAACATGTGAAAATCGTTATTTTTAAGTGTAATACTTCGTCATAGTAATTATCGAACAACATGATCGATAAATTGAAACTTTGAGTTAAGTGAAATTTTTAACGATTTTTTACGGAATAAATTATTTTTCTCATGTGTTATCACATAGAAAATTGAAAATAGAAGAATTTTATGCTAAACGGCAAATTGAACATCTCTAAAATGGTTTTCTTCGGGAGGAAAGAAAAAATTGAAGATCGTCGATTACTGGCCAGCATGGATGCGGTCAATGGCGCGAAAATATATCAAGTTGAAAATGGTAATATTAATTATTTTGTTTAAATAATTTAACATTTAAATGATTTAAAGTATAATTATTACGATATATTTTAAACGTAACGTCGTTATTAGACAAAATAAATATTTATATAATTAATATGAAATAATTTTCAATATAAAATGTAACAAATAATAAATATAATAATAAATTACATTTATTTTTTGTTATTTATTACTTACATATATTCGTATTATAAAAATATATATTATTTATATAAATAACAAAATTATATTCAGGTATCATCATCAAACGAAAATTACACGATCGTGATACTTTCAAATATTTCTTCTTTTTTTTTTTTTTTTGGTATTTCCCATAACTTCTACTTGGCACGCGAAACGTTTTTAGAACGGAATAATCTCTTTTGAAAATTTTATAGTTGACTAAAAAATATTATAAAAAACAAGACTCATATCATTACTATTTTATTTAATTTGTTTAACATCTCGATTAATATAATATTTCTTTGATACTTCGATCAAAGAGATAAAATCATATTGATTATTTCTTACGGTCATTGCCTTTGTCTATTTGTAAATGTGAAAAATGAGAAAGGAGCATGTTTCTTGTAGATATCATCTCATGCTATAGTATACACACACACACACATACTTACATGTATGTATATCTGTATCTAACGTTATTATCGCTACGAGAACCAGGTCGGTATAACATTATGAAACACGAACATGCGATATGATTGTGCACTACAAACATGTGCATAATACTTTTAAGTAATAAGTACAGTAAAGTATCGATTATCCGAATGTCGATTATTCGATACATCGAAAATCCAAATATTAAATAAGTATTTTAGAATCATTTACAAGATTATTCGTATTTACTTCCACTGTTAATTGAAAATAATTGATAGTTGCTTGTAATGCATATTTTCAAAATTTGTCTACACAAAATCCGTTTATCCGAATAAATAAATAAATAATGTATATATAGTAACAAACATTATTGATTGAAAATAATTAACATTTGCTTGTCATAATTTTTTTACACAAAATATAATTATAGAATTTTTATATACTTTCCAATTGATATCAAAAACATTTTATTTTTGGAGTGATTAATATGAATTAAATTAACAAACATTGATCTCACAATAATATTTGTTATTACCTAAGATATGATAAAAATACATGTTGCACAAATGTTCATCTTGAAGGAAATAAATAATATACTAATAAAACTAAAAACACATTTAATTTTAAATGTTAAAAATAAAAAATACAAATTCTACAAAAACAAAAAATATTTCATTTTAAATAATTAAATATTGTATTTTCCTTATTATTAAATACATATTCGTTTACTTATAAACCATTCAGATTAAAAAATTAATTAACTTTCATTCGATTTTTGATATATAACTCGAAACTTCATTAATTCGAAATAATTATCCGAAAAATCAGATTATCGAAATAAATTTATTTTCAAATTCATTGGAATAATCGACTTTACTGCTCTTATCACAAGTTCATCGGTGCATTTAACAAGCATCGGTGCAATTTTATCATTCATATTACATAAACTGTATATATCTCATAGTTCTTTTTTTTTTCAAAACAATTGTAATAATATATAAAACATAATTGAATAGAACCTAAAAGAAGAAACACGTATGTTATAACCATCTGTTTTTTTCATTACAACAGCACGAAATGAATTGTTTTCAAATGTTCCTAGGTAGTTTATTATTTTATTATGTAATATACACACCATTCTTCTAGACTACTATCAAATAAACTTTTTCATAACTTTGATATATATTTCTTGGAATAATTATTTTTTATTTGTATTTTATTCTTATAACAAGAAATCATTTAACAAAATATTTCACAACGTACGATACAAAAAATTACGTGGAATCTTAAAAAGAAAAATGGTTTGAAATATCAAAAGATAAAATAGATACAGGAAGATACAAAAAAAAAAGAAAAAAAGAAAATTAGCAAAAAAATGGATAAAACAAAAAGTTAACAATAATCATAAATGTATCTAATCCGTTTTAAACAATAAAGATAAGCTCAAAAATGATTCTTTCATTTTGTAATATAAATATATATATATATATATGAAACTTATACGCAACAGGAACCGTTCGTTGTGGGTGAACTTTAATATCCAAATAGGTAGCGTGAAAAAATACGAAACACGATAACGAAACAACGAGAAATTTTATCTCGTTATTCCTCACGAAACACCTTTCGGGATGTATGAAACCATAGTAACACTAGAATTCGTAATATATCAACGAAAAAGAGTTAAGTATAATATAAAACACCTCCTAAGGTTTCCATCATATCATTTTTCATAATAATAAACAAAGAAGAAATTTATGTTATCTCATTTCAAAGTAAATTATACTAATGAACATCTCGTTTGTGGCCTCGTTTTAATTGTTTCTAATATGCACACATACCAATAATCGAAAACACAATGCATCCTACGTCATACTAATGCACACATACTCGATCGTATGACAGTAGCACGCGATGCTAATAGAAAACCACTTATGTCAGAATTCTATCATTAGTATAACACAGCACTTGGTAGACCTTCAAACTTTGATCCAAATGATTTATATTAAAAGATAGAAAAAATGATATATATATTCTAATAGATATTTAGGTAATATTGGAAATTGGGGAAAGCTTTTTCGTATTTTTACGAATAATTGAAACACATTATTTTTATTAAATATATTTTATACCCAATCTCTTTTCCAAACTTTGATCTAAATAATTAATATTAAAAGATAGAAAAGATGAGATTCGAATATAGATATTTAGATAATATTGGAATGAGGGGGGAGAAAAGTTTCTTCGTATTTTTATGCATAACTGAAAGATATTTTTATCAAATATATTTTATTCTCAATTTCTTCCAAATAGTATAAGATTGTTTACAATCGATATTTTTCGTTCATTTTCTTATCAAATTTTTCTATTATTTCATCAATTTTTTCAATGATTGGCCAACTGAAACCAAATGCATCTTTGACATCAATTTTTTCTGATCGAAAATATTTGAATCAGAATTGTGTCATACATTTGTTGATAAAATTATTATATGTTCATTAAACATCACAAATATTTTTATCAATTTTAGTCTTATTCTTCCTCTTTTTATAATACAATTTCAAAAATATTATATATTCAATTTCTTCTTCATTTTCACTTATTTTCAAGACACCATAAATTTTAATCGTATAAACAAATTCGTAACTTTTTTCTTAATTATTTTGTAATGTGTGTTATATCTCAAACGTACGGAAGTATTGTCAGATTTGATTAATGTAACCAGAGTTATTCGATCTTAAATTTCATTAATTGTGAAAATACGAAGAAATTTTCTTCTCAGACATAATATACGAGATGTTTCTGGGAACTGGGACGTGTTACTGCTCATTTTTAAGTAAAAATAGAAAAAAAAATGTGCGTAACTTTCACGCGTGATAGAAGTAAAACTCGTATTATCATATAAAAAAATAATCAATTAACATATATACAGTGAATTTTTCTCAAAATAGTACCACATTATGATTATTAGATTTTTGATTGAAAACTATTTATATGGTGCATCTAGAATGAAGATAATTTAGAAATAAATATATAAGTATAACTTAATAATATATTTGAAAAAGTTTCATTTGAAAGCTTTGTTAATAACTAGTGAATTAAACAAATACGAAAAGAATGTACAGAAAATTCTCGTACCTGAAATCGTACACGTTGGCATAACAATAATAACAGAGAAAATAACTTATCTAAAGATTAATAATCCTTTATTTTTACTATTACTTACTATTACTTATTTGTATTTACTATTACTTTTTATTAAACTACTTTCTATCTTAGATTTTCATTAGATGAAAATAGAAGATCAAAAATCATAACTGACAAAAAAAGTTAAAACAAATGTACTTTAATTTAAACAACTCCAAATATTAATAGAAGTATAAAAATATTTGATATATCTTAAATGATTGATAATTATACGAAAAAAAAAATGCATATTGCAATTTAAAACCACGGAGTATAAGTTCGACGTACCATTCTCTTCGAAATCCAACGTTAAACTAACCGTTTGTCCCATGTGAAAGTCAGTTAAAATTCTTTTATTGATTATTGATTATATGACTTTTCAAAGGTTATATACATATAAGAAAAATAATATTCGTAATAAATATAATTTAAAATGATACTTTTCTTATTTTTACGTATTATTTACAAATAATACAATCTTAATTTTAAAAACAAATGTATTTTAATTTAAATAATTAGGTAAACATTAGAACTGAACATTAAAATAAAAAAAAAAGTATAATCGTTAAGTCTATTTATTACATATATTATTTTATTTATACAATATGTAATGTAACCTTCAGAACGGTGCTTTTAAAATGCAATATACATTTCCTTCCGATAAATTAACAATTTTTTAATTAACAATTATTTAAGGATATATCGAACATATTCAAGATATATCACATCCCCACTCATTTTTCATAAACAAATGCATCTCGCAATAACTATCGTTCTCAAAGTATCTCAACATACACATATACACATACTGATACACACCGTTAACCAGGGGATGGTCAAAAGTGCTCATCTCCGATTTTTTTCAAATTTTGCACACTTGTAATAACCCATGAAAAAATGCATTGTGCCTATAAACTAGGCGTATATGGCCAGCTAAAAATTGCGTTTTGAAATTTCACATAGGTAAAACTAAACTCTCCATAATTTCTTTCAACTGTCGATTGATTGTTGATTTTTTATATAATTTTCTCTTTCCCTCTCTCTCTCTCTCTCTCTCTTTCTCGTATCTGTACGTTCCCTTTATTTTCATGTAGTTTCATAAAATTTGATCGTTATCTTTACCTATATATTGCCTATTGCATCCTATAAACTTATTTATCGATTAGATGCACCGATGCACCCACCAAACTCATGTCCACTTTATTCCTTAACGCAACCCGTATTTTTTTTTAATTTTTTTTTTTTTTTTATTTAAAACCAATCTTTTTTATATTTTTTAAAAATTTCTTTTTTTCATATTCCACTTGAAAAAATATTCATCCAATATCTCGTTAATAAAACTGCTTTATTTGTAAAAGATAAAATATCACGTACAGTTGTTTACTTGACAAAATATTACAATGTTTCGTAATAAGGATTGTTCCATAATTATCCCATATCCTATTTTATTATATATGAATGAACAAAAAATAGTTGATCGGAGGAAACATAAAATAGAAAAAAGAAGAAAAATATATATCCAATAATAAAAATATTAATCCAATATCACATTAACCATTTGTACTCTTACGTCGAGTGTGACTCGAAATCACTCTCAAAATATATCATACACTTAAAAATTACAAAATATAACAATAGTCTAAATAAAACAGATATTTAATTAAATTTGTTTCTTACATTACATATTTAAATTGCCATATTTTTTATTTATAATAAATTACAAATAAAACACATTTGTAAAAGCATTAGAAACTGCTGGGAAGAAAATGAAAATATAACTCAGAATGCAATGGGGATTAATAAAACTGTTTTATTTGCAAAATATCAAATATCTCGTATAGTTGTTTACTTGCCGAAATATTGGTGTTTTGTAACAAGGTTTGTTCCATATTAGATATAATATAGTTACCCCATATCCCATTTTATTCTATAAAAAAGAACAAAAAATGTTTGATCGATGTTAACGAAAGGAAACAAAAATCAACCAAAAAACAAAACAAAAATAAATATATATGTATCAACCTTTAGAATTCGAGAAATAAAACGCGTGGTACCTCAGCCACCTGTAGCTATTCTAATATTGATCCATGGTCCGGAAGATGGCCACGCCCGAGGAAGAGGGGTAGAAAGGAAAAGAGAAAGAGAGAGAGAGAGAGATATTATCGTTACGATCCCCCATTTTCCACCCTCTCTCGTAGCTGTTCTGCTACAACCGCTGCTGCCACCCTCGTTTGTAGCTGCTGTAGCTGTGTTCTGTCGCTATTGCTGGTGCTGTTGCTACTTCTGCTGCTGTTTCTGCTGTTGTTACCATTATTGTCTCACACACATATATATACATACACATTACCTAGAAACAAGTTATGGAAAAGTGCGCGGTTGTTACTGTTCCAGCCGCGTTCATGCACGTACGTGAAAATCTCGAGGAACTTGGAAAAGTGGCCAACGACACGGATCTGCTATTTCTTAAGGGTCTACTCGACAGCCCTGTTGTAAATTCTCTCGTTAAGGTGAGTCTTCTTCATCTCTGATTATTTCATTTTTTTCTTTTATCTTTTTCTATTTTCTTATTTGTTCTTTTTTTTCGGTACAAATCTTTTCATTCATATAATTTAACTTGCTTCATTTAACAACTAAATATCATCAATAATTCCAGATTTTATGTATATTAATTAAATAAATAATTTTCTTATTTGTCATATCATTTTTTTTGCTATATCTTGTAAATAATTTAATAGAATTTTAATTTTTATATAATAACTGTAATCGTACACAGATTTGTATTACTTTTGAAATGATGTATGACGTAATATTAGATGAGTCAGAGTTGTATTTTATTTGTTTCATCGTATTTTAAAATGTATCGTCTTTTTTATAAAAAAATAAAATAAAATAAATAATTCGTTGATTTATCTGATCATTTTTAGTCACATATCATGAACTCATTAATCGAATAAAATATTATTCAATCTGTTACACGTGGATTTTTATGATCTTTAAAATGATATATCAGAAAGTAGCCAGTACCATTTAAAGTTTTAAAGTAAGGGTAGTTTGAGTGAAAATGATGGAACTTACAATTTTATCAATATTGGCTTTAAACTTTTATCTCGATATTTAAATTGACATTTCTTTTTTTGCTAATCAAAATTATACAATACCGTGTTATTTGAAATATCAAGATTTACAATATGGAGATATTATATTTATTTATTTATTTATTTATTTATTTATTTATTTATTTAAGCGTACTATCATTCATATTATTTTTTTTTACTTTTAGTATATTTTATGCAGACAAACTTAATACCTAAGGTTTTCATATTTGATGTATGCAGAATTGTTATTTTGCATAAGTGATATTTTAATAATAATAGAGATGGGATCTCAATAATAAATTCGTATCCTGAGGCTATCATCACAAGATCGATAGAATGGCACATTAATATTCGATGTTTCAGAAATGAAAAATCAAAATAAATAAATTAGTAATAAAAACATCAAATTTATTGTTTGGAGAATTCCATATTACCAAATGTTATTTCCCTTCTGTTTCATTTAATGAAATTTTTATTAATTTCATTATGATTTTCTATGATTTGATTAATTTAAAAAAAAAAAAAAAATACATAATTGGACTATACAGAAATGATTTAATTATCTCTCTCGATATTTAAAATAATATTTTGTTGTAGTCATAATTAATAGAAAATCCTTTTGTCAATTAAAATATAATATTATATTATATTTCAATATTTCTTTATTCGATTAAACAAAAAAATTTAGGATTATTGAGTAAAACGTATTTTTCTTTCTCAAATCAAATTACTTTGTCACACTCACATCCAATCAATATTCCGGAGTCGAGTTAACTTGGCACGTGTTCGTTTTCAAAAATGAGTTCGATAGAAAGTCTGGGAAGAGGGTCCAACAATTTTGTTTTCTTTTTCTTTTTTTAAATCGTTGCAATACCATCAGAACGTATGTCTCGAATGCATTCGTGTTTTATTCTCAACAAGAAATGTTCACAATTTTAGATTCATACGCAGACAAAGTAATTCAAATAATTCTGCAAATATTTATTACAATGAATTAAAACAAAATTTAAGAAATTGATTTTATGATTTTTATTTGATATATTAAAATTATTTATAAATATTATATTATAAATTGTAAAATTAAATTGCCAAATTCTTGGAATAGTTCATTCTCATAATTATAAGTACAATTTCAATTTACTCCAAATTTAAAATCAACTTGAGCGATTTAAATTTAGTCATTTATTGAAATAATTAAATACTATTAAGTATTTAATTCTTTTTATAATTATATTTACTATTAGGAAATAATTTAAAAAATAATAAATAAAATAAATTTTAAATTTTGGGAAAAATATACTACACAAAGTTAGATGATACCAAATTAAATTATGGCACTCGAAACCATGAATGAAAATAAAAAAAAAAAAGAAAGAAGAAATAAAAAAATTTTGCGGCAAAATGTGAAAGAAACTCTTAACGAGTTTAATTCAATGTAAACATTATTTTTCCTTCCTATTCATTCCAATTTTACTGTAAACCGGTAAGAATCTACGTCACGAAAGGCACGTGGCAGAAATTTTTGGAGCATTTAGTGTTACTTTATGTGTGTGTGTGTATTTTATACTGTGCCATTGTTACATAAGAACAGATTTTTACGTCATTTCGATCTTGACACACTTTAAAGGAGGCTTTGCGGAAAAAAAGAAAACAAATAAAATAAAAATACGTGATAAAATAACTTTAAAATATCCCGAATGTTCTTGGGAAAAAATTTTCTAAGTAATTCAATATAAAAAAGAAAAAAAATGTATACTGAATATCATCCATGCTCATAAACATTATTTGATTTACACACTTTCAAAATTATAGAAATTATAATCAATTAAAATGTAACTCAAATATTAAAATGAATTATTATTATTTTTATTTAATTATTATTTGTTCAAATCATATTTAAAATCAAATTTTTGTTTAAATTATTGTTCAATTAAAAAAAAAAAAAAAACAACGACCATTTACCAATACCATTTATATTAAAAAATAATCGTTAAACACAAAAATGAATCTTTTAAAAATGTATCGATAAAAAAAAAATAAATAAATAACCAATCGAATTTTAGATGTATCATAAATTGAATTTCATGATAAAAAATTCTTTTATTCCACGTTTCGTTTAAAAAACATTTTTCGTAAATTACTTTTCCGTGCATTCTATCCGCGTATACCAGTTTGATGGAAACACTTATCGGTTAAAATAATAAGAAATAAACGAAAGGAAGAAAGAAAGAAAGAAAGAAAGAAAGGAAGAAAGGAACGGAAAGAAAAAGAAACAAAATAACCTATTACAACGAAACACCCACCATTTCTATTTCGTATCATCACCTTAACTTATATGTGTGTATTCTTCACTGTCCGTGATACGAATATATATATATTAACTTCAGAAACACTCAGGGAACCCTTTGCTATTTTTAAATGCATGCCTACAATTCGTATTATAAATAGTGAACGTAAAACGTACGAGCTTTTCTCGTTTTACGTCTCATGCAGGTGGTGTAACGTTAACTTTCAAATAAGATACGATAGATCAGTGTCTCTCAACTTTTATTTCCTCACCCCCAATCACCATACTTTAAAAATATCAACACCCACCCCTCTGGTATAAAATAGTAAATTAAGTTCTAAAAATAATCGAATTAAATATTTTAAATAAAAAAAAGTTTTGTGTGAGATAAATCTGTTTTTAATTTTACTCTATTTCATCTTTTTGGAATACATTTTTGTTATTTTAACAATATTAAGAATTTTTTATATAAAATAAATATTTTATAATAAAAGTATTTTTTTGTTTGTTTTACTTTACACCCATTATAATTATATATATATATTATTTTACTTATTACTTCAGCCAATGTTTAATTAACTATTATAATTTTCAAAGACGAGATTTCAACATAAATTGTTCTTTTTATTTCATATTTAATAAAAGAATACATTTACATATTATAGTAAAAAATAGAACTAAAATTCCTTGGATATAGAATAAGTGCTTTGAAAATTAATAATTTTTAAAATTTTTATTTTATTAATTTTAATTTTTTTAATTTAAAAAAAAAAAGAAAATATCATTCATGCAACAATTATGTCAATGATTTGTCTAATTAGTCTTGAAAATAATAAATTTTAAATAATTTAATTTTAAATTTGCTAATTAGTCT